AAAAGCTGGACTTCCTCAGTTAGAACTGGAATTATGCTGTACAAAAATCGTATGAACATTGACTGCATAGTGTAGGATCAAGGCCTTCAAAAGTAGGGAGAATCTTGGGTTTAAGATTCTAGCTGGGAAAGTCAAGCTTTTGAAGAATCTGCACTCCTAGCTAGTCAATACATGTTTCTTAAGTAAATGAATTGGAAATTAATTCAGTAGTTCATTATTTCTACATTCTGGGTCCTTGAAAAATGTGTAAGATACAGTGCAGTTGCACATGTTCAAGGGGCAGTTTGTAAAGGTATTTCCCCAGTTATTTTGTATCAGTGTCTGAATTACTACACTGTTTCAAGAAGTATTTTATTCTTTGTCCCATGTGAAAAGAAATGCTGGTATCTCAAGCCCTACTGTGAAAACCTGGATTTTTAAAATCAAGCACATTTTTCTTCAATAGTGAGATGGACCCTTCAAAAATTTGTCAGAAAATATTGGCAAGTTCTATTCAACTGTTTAGGTCTCCTTCTTAAAAAAAATAAGCTATCGAAACATAAATTACACATTTAGCAATAAACTCTACCATTAGGGAGTACTCCTGATTATCTGGATGGGTCTCAGAGCATGAGCAGGTCAGCAGAAACCTAGTCAAGCCCTTTCTTGCTTATAGTTGCAATCTTGCTATTTGTCTCTGGCTAGGAAGTAGATTTTACATCTGCACTATTCAAACACATTGTGCCAAATTCAGCTCACTTTACCCGTGTGAGCAATCACACTGACCTGAATTGCATGACTCCTGTGAATAAAGTGAACATAATTTGGCACAGTGTGAAAACTAATAGCTTGTCCTGTGTCTGGATTTAAATCTAAGTTTTCTGTTGTTGGTTCAAGGTGCTTTGTTCCATCTGCCAAAGACAGGATGTCAGTCTGAATAGAACTAATGTTATCTGAAATTCATTTGTGGTTGTTGCTTGGAGGCCCAAAGCCAGATAATACAGAAGGCTGTTACACTCTGGCTTATTCTAGAAAATGGTTTTGCAAAAATGTTCCGTATGCTACAAAGGCCAAAGATCACATGACTGTTCTGGGCTTTCTTTCAAATCATGTTTACTGTCACAAGACTGTTTCTGAGGAAAGCAGTGAGATTTGTAGCTCTTAGTAACATGCTTATACATGTTGGTCAAGTGAAAGTCATTTTTTTTTTCTTCTGTGGCACCCTACATGTTGAACAACCTGATTCTGCTATCTTGTGAGAGAAAAGAGCTGAATATCAGATGTGTGATATATCCATACTTTCATTGACATACAAACTAGCCACATCCCTCAACTTTTTGTCATTTTCTCTTATATTTTGGGGAGACTTTCCATTCTGTTCTTTCATGGACTGGGATGAATTTCAGTCTTCAATTTGGGATACATGTATGAAAATGCGAATTGGGCACAATCACTTTTATCTGTATAAGCACTTAAGCAGGTGCTTAGCTCAAAGTATGCAAGTGATCCCTATTGACTGTAGTGTGCCTACTCTCATGATTCACTACATGGCTGAATCTTAGATGCCCTCTAGCTGTCCACTAGGGAGTTCAATAAAGGATCAGCTAATAGCGCTCCCTTGTGAAGGGGTCTGGTTGTAAAAGTCAGAACTTTGGAATAAAATGAGGACATGTTATTATTCAAAAGTATCTTAGTGGGAATAATAATTTTTAGTTTTAATGTTTTAGAAATACATATAAAATATGAGTAGACTTATTAATGGCACGTGAAAACAGGATATAAAATTAATCCTATTAAAACTATACAGTTTAACTTTCACATGGAAAACAGCCTACTGAGGGCAAATGGGCTCTGGGAAATTGTTAATTCTCCACTAAGCAGAAAATTTATTGAAGAGATAAGGGAAGTGAGTTTTTCCTTAATAGAACAATAGTTACAGTCACGTGATTCTAGGCACTTACCTAGGGTGTCTCATAAAATACTGAAGAAAGACAAGGGACCAGGATGTATTGGAACGTGGCTATGGATCTGGACAACTAACCATTGAAAGTTAGCTTTACCTAGAGTTGTCTAGAAGCTTTCAGACTTAATAGCCTGCAATTTTTCTTTATATAGGCCTAGGCAACTATCGCAGTTAATTTTTTAGTAAACTTAGGCAACTGAGTACCTGCCCTTAGCTAGGTCTTAAAAGCAATCCCCAAATATCAGCTGAGAAAATGGAAGTAATTTGTTGTTTTTATTGACCTAAACAGGGAACCTATACAGATTCTGCAGAGGGGGAGAGAGTGTTAGGGATTCAAAATGCTTGAATAACCTGTGTGCTGAGGTGTGGAGGGTTAGAGGTGAAATTCAGAGAAGTAACTGGGCCAGAGCTTGATAAGCCAGCTGACAAATAAGACCAGGAAGAGTATATGTGCAAAACGCCTTGCTATGTGCCCCTAATAGCTATGGCGGAAAGAATGGTGATTTCTTCTGTCATCAGGAGAAGACAAAGCTCCATGAATACACTTTGCAAGGTGGAATAATAGGACAGATGCAAAACCCAGAGATGCAGCCCAGCTGACTCAAAGCACTCACTTTCAGAAAAAGAACTATCTAATGTATTCATGCATGAAGTATGCTTACCATTACAGACTTCTGGGGTAGTCAAAAGAGATGCACTTTCTCTTTAGCCATTTTAAAACAATTTGCTCTGAATTATGAACTTACACACACACACCATGGAGTTCCACTGACCTTCATAGGGTTGGATAATATATAGTTAAGCAGAAATTGTCTTACTAAATTTTTTCGATGTTGCCAGTTGGGATGACATCAGGCAATCCTGAGTTCAGTGCAAAGCATTCAATGATACAGCTAATAAACCCATTTCAGTAGGGGCCCAGTAAAAGTAGGAGCAGGAGAGATGAATCAACTGATCAACAAGTGTGTGGCGACTTGTAGGGAATAAAGCACTTGTTTTGCCCAGTGAGAAGATAGCAACCCTACCAACTGTTGAAGGAGAAACCATATAGATACTGTGGTGATGGGCACTGTAGAAAAACCTATAATGAGTAGGGAAATGGAATATGGGATGAGGAGAATTGGGCACATTCACAGCAGTACAAATATTCTTGTTCTGGAGGCTTGTTTCATAGTTGTTAGGAGCTGGATGGGACCTTACAGATCATTGGGTCCAGCCCACACTTGGGCAGGAAAGACTGCTGGGATCAGATGACCCCAGCAAGATGGGCTTCAAGAAGTTTTTTGAAGATCGCCAGGGTGGATGATTATACCACCTCTGGGGGGAATCTGTTCCAAATCCTGTTGTTGTTGCTGTTTTTTTATTAATACCAAACCTGAACGTTAAGGTACTTCTAGCAGCTGGACTTAACTGCAGATGACTATTCCTCTAGGTAGCATAGGGTATATTTTGGTTTAATTTATTACTGAAGTGCTAAGAAATATTTTTTTATTCAATAGAAAATGGGGGTGGGTTAGGGGGAGGAAATTAACACTGGAAGTGAGAGAACATGCTGTCCCTTAACAGGACTTTTCCTGGTACCAGGCCCTTGAACTCTCTGTCAACTTCATAGAAGTGTATTATATTCCCACTTGCCCTCAATTTGCTGCATTCTCTGGGCAATGTAACACAGAAAATGCTTGGCTTACAAAAGTCACTTATGAAGAACAAGGAACAGGAACAGGCTCTCTGTACTTGCTTGTAATGCAGTTCCAACATCCTGTCCTGCAACTGACCTTTAAGCCTGCAACTTTAATGCAAACTGCTGTCTTCCTGGCAAAAGACTTGATCAAAAAGAATGGCCAGGTGATTTTTTTTTTTGCCATCATATTACACCTGCTTAAGCCAAAAATTTTAATTGGATGCATAGATGAATTTAAAATGACTTTTCATTATGGTATTGTTACTTTTCTGCCATGTAATCAATCTGTGCAGACCACAACAATTTTACGTGTGTTTGTCAGTTCAATACACAGTTCTGTTCTTCCATGAGAAACAGATGCTGGCACCCTTACAGATAGTTTATCACCAGCTTATTAGTGAGCAACCATGGGTTTTGGGGTTTGGGGCTTTTTTTCGGTAAGTAGTAAACATGAAGGTTCTTCAGAATGTGACTGTTCCAGAAACCTAATCTAAAGAAAGAATGTACTTTTCTTTGCAGAAAGTCTAGTCCTAGCTTAAGGGTGTTTTTGCTTTGACTTCAGTAAGAGTGGGATTTGGGCAAAGAGAGAATTATTTTAGTATTTGAAGTTGGACACCGAGATGAAGTTTAGTTTTAAATTCAAGAGCCATTAATTTTAATTTCTTAATATGAATCTAGGGTTTATCTGCAGTTGGGATTTTTTGTATCAAGGTAGCTTTGCAGGCATAACTACACTAATAAACCATTTCCCTCCTGCCTCCCATGTGAACAGGATGCAATGGCAAAAAGAATGATGCCTAGGAGTGTTACTGACCACAGCTTCAAACTGGAATACACTGTTGCAAAAATGCAGTGACAAAAAACCCTTAAATTCAACAAAACATCAAGGCTGGGAACAGAAGTGTTCAGAAACTGATTTAAACCTGTAACAGAAAAGAAGTTCAGCGCACACAAAACCAGTTACAAAATGGCTGAAACTGGTGTAAGATAAACCTGGCTGAATGTAGTATCAGACTTAACTGATTTGGATCGAACCAGTTTATGAAACTTCTCTCCCAGACCCCTTCCTGGTTCAGGTTAAATCACAGTCCCCCAGCATGCTTTGCAGCCCTGGGTTGGGATGTCCTGTCTGCTCCAGAAAGCAGGGCTGGCTTCGCCCCTCTGCTCCCTAGCTGGAGCAGTGACAAGCCTGGCTGGGGATGAAGCACAGTCTGTGGGGGATGCGGGGACACACTGCCCCCCCACCACAGGTAAACCCTGGTTAGTGTCTGGGGCCAGGGCGGGCAGTTAAACACACCTTCCCCTGCTCAAACTTACTGCTGGCTGCAATTGTGGACTACAAATCCCAGAGGCACCTGGAAGCAGAAAGAGGAAGTAATAAGCAAACCTGCAGAATTCTGTTTTTGTGATTGTGGACTGCAAATCCCAGAGACCTCAGGGGCAGCAGAAAGAGGAAGTGAACACACAGTCAGAGAGCTAGCGCCTCCCTGGCTTCTGTCCTGAGCCCCTGCAGGCATATGGCTGTATTTCCTGAGTTAAAGGTAAATGTCTGTTCATTTCTGTTTCAATTTAATATGTGCAGTTTAGACTAACCTGCAAAGGCTGAATTGATTCAGCCTCAGACTTTTTGACTATCTGTACCTAGCCCAAGAGTTAATAGACCCCCACAACCTCTGTTGATAAGTGTGGCATCACAGTTGCTGTTCCAGACCATGGTATCACAACACTACAGGAGACTTTCATTGGGCTTTCAGTGTGAATCATTTTGGTTAATGTTGGGATTTCTCTTTTTCCTTCCCAGTCATTGAGTTTTAATATGAAAGCTAAGGATTCTCTTATTTTTCATCATTTAATTTGAGGCTGGCCCTGATTTCCCTCAGCATCCTCAGCATGGTCTTTAATGAGACCAGAAAGCTCATTCATCATGGGACAGATGGAGTGAACAAAGCCAGAAAAGATCAGTGCAGGTATGATTAACAAGGAACAGAATTTAATGTCTTGCTTGGTACTGGTGAGTATGGAATGTAGAACAAAGGAAGTGAAGCCCTGAAAATGCTCATAAAAATAACTGATGATTAACAACCTACTGCCTGAGAATGCATTTAAAATGAAGAGCACCTATCATGATGGTCTTCTGTTGTTCCAGTTACGTATGTTGCTCCACCACTGAAGTTTCTGGATGTTTCCCAAAAATAGTCCTGGAGGGCTAAACAGTACTATTATCCCTAATTTATAGTCAGGAAACTTGATGCACACAGAGATTAAGTGATTTGCCCAAAAACATGCAACAAGTCTTTGGTAGAACTGTAATTGAACACAACCTTCCCTCAAGGGAGGTCCCAAACACAACAGAAATGTGTGTTGCACAATGGGCCTTTAGCAGACACAAATACAAACCTGAAAGCTATGTGCTTTGCTGGTCACATCCTCAAACCTACTCTGCAGGGTTTCCTCTATGGAACCAATTTACAGGTCATCTCCTCCTTAGGATTAAATAGCATAATTCTTGTTTAATACTAATCAATACAGAAGCTGGACAGGGCTGGGGTCAATCTACTTTTCCTGGCAAGGCAGGGATACTGTGTCAACAGGAATCTAAGTTTCACAGAGCCAGAGGGAAAGTAAACAAGAAAGATCGTGAGGTTGTAGCTGAGTGATGTGGGCATTTCACAGGGAGGGGTATGGTTGGATTCCTGTCCCTGTTCCCAACAAAAGAAACACATTTTATCAGATGACACCAGCTACAGAGTTACAGCACCAACAGTAGGAACCAAGTTGCATAAATATAAGTGATTTTGTTTTCTGTATATATACGAGCAAATGTTATTCAGAACATGAAGTGACACCTTGTTTTTCTGTGAATATATTGATACATTTTCAGCTGTTATTTTATTCTTACTGCCACTCCCCTTTCACCTCATCCAATGTCCCACATTGTGCAAAGTGCTATACAAATAAAGAATATTTTATGGATTGGCAGCATGATTTTAAAAGTGAAAGAGAAGGCAAATGTATGCCAAATGCTGTGTTTAATGTATAAGTCTAAATGAATCAGGCACAGACACCGAAGAATAAGCCTGAACTTAATCCTGAGTCTGCATATGGCTGTTAAAGGTAAGCACATAGTTATGGTCCCATGCTGCAACCTAATAGAACAACACTTGCTGAAGCAAAAGATTCTGTCAGCTAGGAAGGTGGTAGTTCATCATTCACACTATTTCAGTGTGATTGTGTTTGGCAATCCAAGAGCGAAACCAACAAATATGGTACATATAGCAGAACTCATGTGTATTTTATTAATATCCATATTAAAGCCAAACGGGAGTTCTGATTAAATCAATTAAGGGGCCCTATGCAGGGCCTGTAAATTCTTGAAGGCCCGGAAATTTTCATGGTGGCCCTGGCAATATAACCGTGGTTGTCTTCCTGCTTTTTTTGTTAAATGCCTTTAGGCTTCATATTTATTGTAAACATTTGTGAAACATAAGCTTGCTTGCAAAACCATCACAGCTCACTCAGCATCACAAAGTCTGACTGATAGACTTTGTTTTCCTTTGCAGTGTCTTTTATTTTACAGTCCCCACCAGTGATTTTTTGAAAATTTTATAATGGTTTTCCTAATGTTTATTTATGGTTTATGACCATCAATGCAAACCGTATGTGGAAGAGCAGCCATGTGACAGTGTTCTCGTCCTTTACCAAAACCACAGAATTTTCAATTTCGGTGTACTTCCCGAACTAACAATTTGCTTAAAGCTGCATTAGCCTCTCTCTCTTTTTAAAATTTGTTCTGTTCTGAAGAATGTTTGGGCAATCTGAAGCCCTGACAAAAACTCGAAAGGAGGTGTTCTCCATCTAGTCACAGATACAATGTGAGCAATGAAATGTGAGCTCCCTCTTTTTTCCTTCATGTAACCCTGACCTGGGAAGATGACCATCTCTAGGGGTAGCAGATAATTTAATTTCCATGCATGTCAAATTTTTCTTTTGCATCGAGGCAACAGATACAAGTGTCAAATTCTGCAAAATCAGGTGTTCTGGTCTGGATGTAGAAAACTTCTATCATGGGATTGAGGTTAGACCACCAAGCTAACTTCACTTCAGGCCCCTGGCTGGTCCTGGGATTATGTTATGGGGGTGTGTGTGTGTGATGTGTGTGTGTGTGTAAACTGTTTAGCTCCTGACCTGTTTTATATTGTGTTATATTTCATGTCCATGAAAGAATCAGTAAAAAGTACTTTCAGATGGGGAGGAGTGAGCACCACAATTTCAGCATTTGCATTTTTCATTCTGCAGAACACACTTCAAAGGAAATGTTTAAAAAACATACATCTGGAAAACTGATATTTAACAACTCAAAAATTTTCACCAGTGTTCACCAGATGAGACTAAAACAAACAAATAAGATACCTGGATTTTCTCATTTTCCCAAGTGTACAAATCATTTCATTATCATGAGGGACTTTAAAAAAAATCAATTATGATGGGCAAACCTTGTGTTGTTCAAAGTGATAGGAAACTTTCAAACTAAATTTTCCCCTCTGCAATTACAACCCATTGTATCCCTAACCTTTTCTCTTTCTCTGCAGCTAAGACTTCTAATTTCTGGGAGAGGTACAGTGTTGTGATAATTGTCTACTGTGTGATTTTCTTTAGGGTAGTTCCCTGTCCATCCTGATCCCTGTGTTATTTATATTGGTATGCAAACTGATAGTTTACACCGAGTTATGTGTATGTTTGTCCATGTTTGATCAGCTGAGGATCTTTTTCATATATTTTTGATTTGATTAATTTTCTTCTGTGTGCCTTGCTTAGGATGCGACTACACATTACAGTTCTCAGATGCTCATTCTAAGGCATATTAGTCTGTGTTGACTAGTGCTAGTGATCTGTCACATATTGAGGGTTAATACCTTCTCTAAGGTACACTGCTCAGATCTGCCGTTAGAGGGCTGGTGAACAGGGATATGGTTGGGGGTACAAGTCTGCTCCATGTCTGCCCTGATAGTTGACTCTCTAGACAGTATAGGCTGGGAGTGGAGAGCTCTCCTATGCCACGTGGATTACCCCCTCTATCCCCCAAAGCACCCCATTGCCCCCTCTCTTCAGCCCCTGGATTGCCCTCTCCCACCCCCCGACTGGCCTCTCCACTCCAAGATCACTACCATGCTACCCCAAACAGTCCAAAAGCTGTGCATGCAGCAGCAGAGTGGGAGAAGGTCTGCCTCCCTGCCTGCTCCAAGGCTTCCTGCAGCCCATGCCACCCCTGCACACGCAGACCTATCCCCACCAGGCCCTGCAGCTACCTGGCAGCTCCTTGTCCACCCCCACCCCAATCCTATTTTATCTGCCTCCCCTTCAGTTACAGGGCCTCATGGGGGCTGGATGTGGGCATGCTGGAGCAATGTGGTCTATACAGACCCCAGGAGCTGACCAGGGGGGGAAACCTCCCTATTAGCAGCTCTGCCACTCTTGGGCTGATCAGGATAGCAGAGCAGTGATCTGGGGTTGAAGCAGGAAGAGAGGGTAACTGAGGTGGCAGGGAGTAATATGGGGATGAAGGAGGGTTGGGGAGGAGATTTGGGAGGCAAAGGAGGCAGCAGCCTGGCAGCTTCCCATTCACCTACTCCCCCCTTCCAACTACTGCCTCCCTCTTCCCACCTCCAATCCTGCCCCCCCCACCCCTTACCCCTTTCCCATGCCCTGCTCTTCCTGGCTCCTTTACCCCCTTAACCCCTTTCTTTACTTCCTTAAACCCTTTTTCGTCCCTCCCCAGTCCATCCTCACTTACCTGTTGCCTGGCCTTTCCCAGAAGTCAGTCCAGAGCCATATAATCCTGGATGATAGCTAGGCTACCTGGCAGCAGTGCTCCCTGAGATACCGGAGGACTGCAGATTGTTGGTTTTATCTCTGGTAAACACCCAGAAGTTAATTTAATTTAAACTAGGTTGCTCATGTCAAAGATAATCTGGTCCAAAGTTGTGTAACTTTAAAATACCTAAACAAGACTTGGCACTAGTTAATGAGCCTTAATGTGCGATCATTCAAGTTTTAAGAGCTCTTAACATGATCCAACTGTAGTGTATAATCTTACTCTTAGAAATATCTTCTCAGTTTAATAAAACCTAAAGAGTTTCAAATCCAAGTTCCTAATTCATGTTTTCACTATGAATTTGAAATTAGTCAGAAAAGTTCACCTACTTTTAAATATGTATCATTTCACTAATTGTTCATGCTGACCTAAAGGGATACTAGCAAGCTTAAAATCACATTTCAATTTGAGTATGGTGTACCTATTTTATTAAATAAGTAACCCCAAGGTACTTTAACTGGAAGAAATTAAAGCAAAAAGAATTTTATTTTTTGTGTATATTTATGCATTTCATTGTTCCTAGGACTTGCAAAACAATATTTATTAGTAACAGTAGCAACAAAACTTCATTGGAGGAAGCTGCAGAAAGGGGTGTGCAAAGTGAGAAAAGAAAGTGGGAAGGAAAGGGGGTTTGTTTGCATGTGTTGTCAGGTCCAAAACTGAAGACTGTTTTACCAAAGGGATTCTTTAAACATTTAGAGGAAAGGGGGAAAAATTGAAATAAAAGGAGTTCGTATGTTACAGGCTGCTGATATATTTAGACTTCCTGTTTCAGAAGAAAAAGACAGTTGATAGAGTCCATTGTTCTTTGGAGGGCAGCACCATGCCTCTTATGTAAAATCCACATCTTGCTGGTGATTTTAATGAAGCCCAGGCTCTCATCCTTGGAAGTGTGCAACCAAAGTTCAGTATTATTCAGAAAAAGTCACTGTTCAGGTCAGAAAATATGCTGTAGTACAGAGGGAATTTTAAGACTCTAGGACCTTACATTGTTCATTAAAAAGATCTTGTGCCTGCAGTACCATTGGCTTCCTGAAGAAGGTCTTTATTCTACTTCTACTAATCTGGAATAAACCATATGAATTAAGGAGGCTATAAAAATGATCCTTCAATAACATCATAGGCCAAATTCTGTTTTCAGCTGTTTAGTTCAACCTCACTAAAGTCGGCAGGAATG